TGCAAGACCCATCAGAAATGTGATTAATCAGTTCCAGCTGAAGGAGGAGAAAAAGAAAAGCAAGCAAACCGTACTTGCAAAAATAGCAAAGCAGAAAGGAAGCAAAGCATGCAAGACCCATCAGAAATGCAAAAAAGCAAAGCATGAAAGACACATCGGAAATGCAAAAAATGCAAAGCAAAAGGCAACCAAACCCTGCAAGTCCCATCGGAAATGTGGGGGGACCCCAAAAAGCAAACAAACCCTGCAAGACCCATCAGAAATGGGGGGAGGGAAATGCAAACAAACAAATTTTTGTATTTATTTATTTATTTGATTTATATCCCGCCCATCTGGTATATTCAAACCCCCCAAGACCCATCACAGCACAGAAACATAACCCCCCAGTCCAAAACCATGCTGCAAACCCCACCCAGAACAGTTTTTAAAAAGCAGAAAGCAGCACCTTACCTTACCAGGCAGACAGAAGCCTCCTCCGATCACACTCACTCTAACTGTTGGGGCAAAAGAGCTACAAAGAAGCAGCCTCTTTGCCTACCAACGGTTAGCAATTTGAATTCCCTGCCTTTTTCCCCTGCCTTTTTTTGGTTGTAACTCAAAGCTCTGGCTTCAAGTCAAAGCAAAATTTTGCGGCCAGAGCTGGTCATAACTTGAAATGGTCATAAGTCGGGATGTTCGTAAGTCAAGGCACCACTGTATTGATGAAAAGCCAAATCTTTTTATTTTCTGGCATTGTGTTCACTAATGTTAAACAAAGAAAAAACAACCAAGCCCCAGATGTCTTACTCTATATTACTCTAGCCACCTAGAGTGGACTAGATAGGCAGGATATAAATAAAATAAATAAATAAATAAAATCTTTACAGAGATAGAGCTGGATATTAAAATGATTCTGCTTTTACAGTTGTACCATATGGTTGGTCTTATTGCAAACATTCAAACCATCCTGCTTTTAATATAGCATCTGATGAAGCAAGGTGCTACCAGAGGTTTCATGAACGTGTCATATACACAGCCAGACACAAAGTTTTGCAATCAGATTTGATGGGTGGCTTACCTACAGAGTAAATGGCTCCATTAAGGTCAACAGGAAAGGCACATATGTGTCTTGGCAAAACAAAGCAAATATAAAACTAAACAAACTCCCAAAACCTAACAGAAATGCCCTAGCATTTAGTCTGCCTAAAATTGTAGCCACACATGTAAATCCTTCCCATGTAACGTTATCTTCATTGGCTTTATTGGAGAAGAAACTCAATGTCAGAAACCATACACACAGCACACTTTTAACTGTTCAAAGCAAAACAACCAAAATCCTCTCTGCACCTCACAAAGAAAATGTAAATTCATTGCAAAGTTAAAGATGATGACATTAGAATCATACAACTGTAGAACTATAAGATATTTTAAGGGTCATGGAGTTCAACCTCCCAATGAAGAAAGAAATTCATAACTAAAGGAGTCTACCACCTTCAGATAGTCCACAGATGAACAGGTTCTTCTACCAGGAGATTGTTCCTAATACAGTGGTGCCTCGCTTGACGACATTAATCCATTTCAGCGAAATCGCTGTAGAGCAAAATTGTTGTCAAGCGAAATAAAAAAGCCCATTGAAATGCATTGAAAACCGTTCAATGCGTTCCAATGGGCAAAATACCTGCTCGTCCAGCGAAGGTCCTCCATAGGGTGGCCATTTTCTGCTCCCTATATAGTGAAAAATCCATCCTAAAAATAGTGGGGAGCCATTTTGCAGTGGGCGGCCATTTTGGAAAGCCGATGATCAGCTGTTTTGATCGTCGTAAAGCAAAAAATCAGTTCCTGAAGCAGGGAACCGATCATCGTAAAGTGGTTTTTCCCATTAGAACATCGTTTTGCGATCGCAAAAGCGATCGCAAAAACCTAATTGTCAAGCGGATTCGTCGTTTAACAAGGTAATCGTTAAGCAAGGCACCACTGTATTTAACTGAAACATTTTGAGAACAAGAAAGAATATCAATTAAAACTGTACTTCATGTGAATGTACTACATGACCTTACACATATGTTTCTTATCTCAGCCCTTACACTTACTACAGTATAAAGACTATCATCTTTACCTAATTTGCAGGATTGTTGTAACAATTATTGTACTTTATACAGCTGGAATACTCTGAACATTCAAAAACCCATTAAAGTGGCTAAATGTTTTAATAAACATCTTATATTTTTCATCCTGATCAAAGTGGCTAAAATCCTGTTGGTATGACTATACCTGTGGAAGGCTACTGATGTTATCACCTTAGAATGATTTTCAGAAATTAAACATTTCCTGCTCCTGTCCTGTTGCTTCCAAATAATCTTTCATCATTTGGAAGCCATGGTAACTGCAGGACAGGAGGAGGAAGTCTTTAATTACTGAAAATCACTGCTATTGGTAAAATCTTCTCAGAAGTGATTATTTTCAGAAATTAACTACTTGCTCTTCCCATGGAAAAGTCTCCATGAAACAGAGGTGGGAAGTATTTAAATTCTGAAAATTGCCTCCTCCTAATGGCATCATCAGCCTTTTGTGGACATAGTTGTGTTAGTAGGATGTCAGCCAAAATATTAAGAGGAAGTGATATCATCAAAATTGGCAGAAAAAATATGGAATTTGAGATATATTAGTAATATATAGTGTATAAATATATTTAGTATAAAGTAATCCAACATAGTGATGGTAATAGTAATATAACACATGTGTATGTATATTGCACATGCACAAAAGTTTGAAGAAAAGCATTTGTTGCCACCATTTAACCTTGAGATGCAACAGCATGCCTCTCCAGATGCTGTTGCAAATCCCATAATCCCTTATCCATGGTGATGAAGGCTAAAATGAACAGGAGTTGCAATCCAACATCCTTTGGGGGAACCCCCACCAAAAAACCTGCATGAAGGATAGCTCAAAATATGCTTTCTGACACAGACACCTTTACCATGCCTAAAATGGCAGCCAGCCTTTCCTGTTATACTGTTGCTTTAAAATAAAATAACATTTAAAAATGTATGCATATAAAAATACCCCACAACTGGGGGAAAATATTCCCCTTCTCAATGACCCACACTCTGGGTGTGAAATTGGTAGTGAATCAGTTCATGTGATTTTTTAAAAGGACATTGCTCTGAAGTTTCTAATTCTCTCCGTGCTCTTTGAAAAAAAAATTATACAAAGGATGGTGGCCTTTTCCATGCTATTCAGTTTGAATTGTTTCAACAGATCACTGCTCAGGAGAAGTGAAATCCTGCCTAATGAAAACCAACCCTACTAGGAGAGCTCCTCATGCCCTTTTGCTAAATTTAAAGTTCATAATATTTATCAGTAATGTGTTTACATTAAGAATCAAGCTACAGAAAAAAAATCTTTGAAATTACAAATGAGTGGGGATTTCTATTTGTTAAACTTATCCCTTTGTTCCAACATCTTAATAGCATAATCTATTCTGGAACCAGTAAAAACTATGGCACTTTCATTTACTTTCACATACAAATCAACTTTGCTGTCTATAAAATGCTCTTCACAGAATGTGAGTGTTTCACATTTCTGATTCTAAGGGGTAGAACTGGAAGCTTTATTGAAAAAGCTAATACAATAGTGTTACTTCTTTGCAAAAATAATTAGGGATGGAATTTTCAGATTTACTGTAATTCTCCATTCTGGTGATTCTACATATTTTATAGGTACCTTACAAATACCTGCATGTGATATCACCCTGGCAGAAAGGCCTAAATTAGAAGCCTTTGTGGTTTAGCCAGGCCAAGCTCTGCCCAGGTTTCCTGGTCCTTCATCAGTGGAAGCCTTCTTTCTGAGCTACAAACTAACTTAGACCTTTCTTCTAAGCAGATTACATTCAGTTATTTGTAAGGTGTAGACAGAACCTCCAGAATGGAGAATGATGGTAATTGCAGTCCAGAAAATCCAAATGTCCCATACTTATAAATAATTTGATGATCATTGTTCAAAAGTAATAGGTAACACTCATTAATTTCTAAAAGCATTATTAACATGTTACTTTAGAAAGGTTTAACAATTTAAAATGCAAACAAGACCTCGAAGTACCCCCAAATTCTGTGGAATGCCCCCAACCTGAGTGATGTATATGTTTTGTATTCACTGACACCACACTCTTTACTTTCAACCTTGCCTTCACCTTTCATTCTCCTTGCTTCAGTCATTAATCCCAATGACCACATCAAATCCTAGTGTCCCCTTTCCATGTGGAAAAATATCTTCTATTCCACAGCTTGCTTTATAGTATCATATGAAGAAAGTGAATCCAGACCAGATCCAATGCTGGTTCCTCCGTTTAGGTGTGAGTCATGCAAAGTTTTACCCAAGCAACAGCAGAAGCATTGCTATATATTTTATCTGAAAACACCCCACTTGTTATTCTACCAGTATGTCTCTAGATCATCACTAGTGGCTATTTTCATTCCTCCCATGGTCCTCTGGATACAACTCAAGACAGTCATTTCTGGCACATAATTTTACTTTCCTCTGAAGATGCTGGCCACAGAGACTGGCGAAATATTAGGAAGAAAACCCTTAAGAACATGGCCAAACAAAAACCCACAACCACCAATTTCACTTTCCTTCAGTTGACTACCCCCACTGTCAGACCTCGGGTTGAAAGTTGCTCAATATAGTTTTCTCTTTTCCTCACTTTTGCTGCTGAATCTCTGCAAATTCTATTTATATTAGTGATTCTGAATACTTTCCCAAATAATTGTAGTAATAAATAAATATATAAATTCATGTGCAACAATAAAATTAGTGCTTTTCACAAAGCTATATACCCTAATATTTATCCCCCACAAAGATCACATTATCAAGGATATAGCAAAATACTAATTAGTACAAGGCTTCAAAACTCTTTTTCCAGAATCAAGATCATCCCATAATTATTCTGAACAAAACTGCAATTTCAAAATTGCACTGCAGAATAGCACACCAGATTAATTATACCAGACTGCAGCAATAACCTTGAATTAAAGCAGCACAACTTTCTATTTTAAAGGAACAATTGCCTTTCTGGTTGATGAAACCTGTCGTCCCATCAGGTAACAGACGTGACCAGGAAAGAGAGAAGCGATAATGAGTCAATCCAAGCTGTTTGATACATTTCAAATCTTCCTCCCACAGAGTATAGCTGCCACAAGCTACATCACCAGTGTGGTTCTTGAAAACCCGATCTCCTCCCTGATGGGTGAACGTGTCCCAAACATTGAGGCCTTTTCCATCTGCATCCCAGCCACCTGATTAAAAAGAAAGCAATTGTAAAACATATGTAAAAATAATGCTCTTTGCTACATATTGCTGGATGAAGAGAATCTAAGTATCTTGTAAGCAAATCATACAGCACTATCTTCAGTTTTAAGCATATATCCCTGAATTACTGTTGCTATGAATTTATTTATTTTCTGTTTGAAAAACTTCTTTTTTGAACGTTTTCAGATAAGGGTGATTATGTGCCAAACACACATTTTTATACAAACACCAAATTTTGCAAACCTTTGTAGGAGATACAACAATCTTTTACCAACCTGTCCCTCCCTACCCCCAACTGCAATTGCTATCCTTGATTGTTGTGACCCATTTGCAGTCACAAACATCATCTGAAGGGTATAAAATATATTTAAACATTGTCTAATGTTTACACTGCCACAAACAGCACCATCTTCTGTTCCATACCGTCTACAATAAAGAGGTTAATTGTCCTGTGATGCTTAAATTTACAATGGTGCCAAATTTTAGAATGGGCTGCGGTGTAGAAATGGACTCTTGTGCTGCTTATGACTGGAACAAGAGGTGCCCCCCCCCCAAAAAATCTCAAAGCTTATCTTGAACTGCACAGAAACCTATTTCAAAGGTCAGGTCAGATTAATAATGAGCTGTGTTCCAATTATCTTCACTGTCGCTGTCACAGCCTTCCTGCCATCACCTAGACCTCTCCATCCTAAATGATGTGACAGAAGTCACTGTAGTACTAGAGAAAAGTAGTACTGATGTTTCCTTCAGTAAGGTTTTCCAGGTGTGGGAAAAGTATGTTTCCCAGAAATTTATACTACAGCACTTCTGTGGCAAGCATTTTTCAGCATAATGGGGATATCTCTCTTCAACCTAAGTGTGTACATAATTCCCGCCCCTTAGCATGTGAATGTGTACTGTTTAAGGTGGTAAGTGGTGGGGAACAGAATGGATGAAAAGGAGCATGATGAGGTTTTTAAATAAACAGTGCTGTTGTAACTGGTGTTGGAAGAAGACAGGAGAGGAAAAGCAAGGTAACAGAAAAGAAATGAAGGAGAGATAAGTTATTGAAGAGGCATAATCAGCGAAGTGCTGAGGAAAAGGAGAAGGAAGATACTTAAATAAGTGAAGACTGGTGACACAAGATTCGAGACAGGCAGCAATGGCGTACAAGAACCCAGGAAGTGGTTTCTCAGTTTCACTTTGCCTCACTAAAAGTACCACTACATTCACTGTGAAATGTTCATGTTAGGTTTACGTACTTATAATTGTTATTTTGTTATGTAAATCTTGCTATAATGTGGTTGTTGTCTCTTGGATAACTACCAACCATGTTTCTATGTCCTAAAAAAACCCCTGAAGTATTATTTATTTATTTATTTATTTATAAAAGCAAAAAGCAAAGCGTGCTGCTTATATACTGCCCCATAGTGCTTCGAGCAGTCTCTGGGCGGTTTATAAGTTAATTATGCAGGCTACACATTGCGCCCCCCCCCCAGAGAGCTGTGTACTCATTTTACCGATCTCAGAAGAATAGAAGGCTGAGTCAACCTTGAGCCGGCTACCTGGGATTGAACCCCAGGTCGTGAGCACAGTTTTGGCTGCAGTACAGCAGTTTAACCACTGCACCACGAGTCTCTTAGAACTGCAAGTGAAATTGTAGATACTCATGTTATCTGTAACTACTGCTGGGTATTCTAATCAGTTGATGGTTCTGATCAAGATTCATCACACAGTGCAAAAGTGTGTTGTTTAACTATGCAAGTTATTCTCCGAGTTCCACTGAGACTATTTAAATGCTTAAAGATTTTGCTCAGCTTTAGTCTGTGAAGTAGTATCAAGTGATTTAAGAATATTTTCAATATATTGCTATACTTGTCTCTGTTTGCAAATACAGGAGCTTGAAGTTGTCACCCTGCTATTTTTTTTGTGAGCTGGATCAGGCTTCCACACATGTGGGAGCATTGTGTTCAACACACTCCTTGGGCACAATGAGATGCCACAAGAGGCTAAGTAGGTCTGGGTCAAACCAATGGTTCTGTGGAAGACCACTGGGAAACCTCATGTACAAGTATGTCACCTTGAGCTCCAAGGAAAAAAAGGAGACTGTAACTCTCTCAATAGCTCTGTGAGTTATGCAGAGACAAAGGTTGGGAGTTCAGTTCCCTTCTATGCATACATATACAGTGTATACTCCTAAAATATTTGGTTAAAATGAAGAAACTGTTTCTTTTTTGAATAAAAGAAATGTGAGATCCATTCGATCTTGGTACTGAAAATAAATGCCCAGCTTAAAATTGTCCTATTCTGAGTGCACATCTTTTGCACCAAGCTCTCCTTGATGGATCTTGAGGGTTGAGTAGCAAACTTTATGCTTTAAATTTGTCACTTTTTGCAAAGCAGCTGCCCCAGGTGGTGAAATAGGTGTTTGCCAAAGTATGCAACTTTCCTCATCTCTGACTCTTTCATTTTGGCATGTTTTGCTTTATTGGTGGCTAGTAAAAGGTAAACACAGCCTTAATTTGCACGTGAGACTGCTGGGACACAACTCTGAAAAAATCACATTGTGGTGCTTGTGGTTGTGGTGGAGAAGTATGGATTACCTACGTGTCAACATGGTTCTTTGAGGGGTCCTCCATGAAGTCACACATATGGGTTATCTAATGTGCATGTGTGAAGCTTCAGAACATTCTAGAGCTTAAAAACAGATACATTAGTCTCCTCCCCATCCCAGCCCCTTTCATTCCAGAGGTGAAGAAGGACTAGTGAAAAATGAGGGTGGCACAATAGGTTGAGACAAATGGTAGTGGGAGACCACTTTAGGAAGGACGGAGATCTCAGGATATGCTATAACGTTATCTTTCTAAAATTGCAGATACAGAGAGTCATGACACAAGACACATAACATGCATGCCCGACGAGCTGACATTACAACAAGGAGGAAGGCAGTCTTTCAGGTAAGTAGATGAAGGTCACATGTAGCCATGGGTTCAAAGGGGGGGGCTTGTCAAGCAGCTGAGAACCAACTGATTTGACCATAGAGGTGGAGGTAAATGACGATCAGGGTAAGTATGTTTGAGACCTTTTAGAAACAACTATCACATGTAGCCAGGGGTTCAAAGGGGGGCCTTGTCAAGCAGCTGAGAACCAACTGATTAGACCACAGAGGTGGAGGTAAATGACGATCAGGGGAAGTATGTTTGAGACCTTTTAGAAACAACTTCAGATGTGGATGTATGAAAAACTGCAAAGCCCAGGAGCTCTTGGACTGACAAGAAACAATGGTGGGAAGGTTAACTTTAATCGAGGATGAAGACAAACCTTGCTGCTTAAGTTGAAGAAGGACTCCTAGCACCATGTGAAGAGGTAGACTGGTTGCTGACTGACCCTTAGAAGTGGCAAAAGACTGAAAATGATGCCATTTGTAATTATTGCAAATAGTGAAGGGTTTCCTAGTTACAGCTATTACAGCTTCAATTTCTGCAATATCCTCCATGCTGTAAGGTTCAGACTTCAAGGTTTGGGTGGAGAATCACTCTGTTGTCTTGGCATAGCAGGTCTGGAATTTTTGGAAGTCTGACATGGGATTTTAACATCTAGCAAAGAGGTGTAAACCAAGCTTGTCTGGGCCACAATGGAGTCAGAAGAATAACATCCATGTTCTCCTGCCTGAGCTTGGTGATCACCCTGTGAATCAGGGACAATGGGAGATAGAGAAGGCAACAACACTAGTGGAACATGAAAGCATCCCCTAGGGACTGGGGATTAGATCCAGCTCATGAGCAGTAGTCCTTGCATTTGTTGTTTCTCCTGGAGGCAAACAAATCTACCTGGAGCGTTCCCCACAGAGAGAGCAGAAGACCTGCTGGTTTAGCTTGTGAGTCTGACTTCATCTCCTGCTGAGTCTGTTGGCAGCCTCGTTGTCCTGACCCACTAGGGGAATGGCAATGGGAAAGATGTGCTGCTTTGCCACTCCCAGAAGTCCACAGACAGGAGAAGAAAGTGCAGGAAGTGAGTCCCTCCCTGTTTGTTTATATAGTGCATTGTAGTTGTGTTGTCAGTGACTACATGTACCACTTTGCCTGACAAAAGAGGTTGGAAGGATCTGAAGGTCTTGAATACTGATAGGAACTTCAACTTGTTTATGTGTAGGAGAGAATATCTGGGCATCCAGCTGTTCTGGATTTGGTAGGAGAGGCAAAATGCCCCCAAGCCCAGAAGAACCTTGTTGTTAACAACCTGAATGGCAGTGGTCAGAGGATGGAAAAGTCTGCCCATGGGTAGGTTCACAGAACTGGTCCACCATTGCAGATGAGCACTGAGCTCCACAGTCACTTAGAGGAGCAGAGCAGGATGATCCCACAGGGGGTTGAAGAGAGAAAGATACCATGCCAGAAGAGACTGCATCTTGAGCCTCACAGGTGAAATTACTGTGGTCGTGGAGGCCATAATGCCTAGCAACAGCTGCGTCTTGTGAGCTGAGACCATAGCCCCTGTTGTAAAAATGCATACCAATGAGTGAATTTCTTGAGATCGACTCATGGGGGGGCATATGCCTTGCCAATGATGGAGTTTAGAGTCATCCTGATGTAAGATACCACCTGGCAAGGTACTAGACTGGACTTGTCAAAATCAACCTGGAACCCAAGGTCCTCAAGGAGGGACATTGTGGTTGTGACATGTTTCCATGTCTTGTTTTCAGAGCCAGCCACTTGTCGAATACAGTTAGATCACAATGCCTCAAGTATGTAAATAAGCTGCCATGGGTGTCATACATATGATGAAGACCCATGGCATTGTGAAGAGCCCAGTGGGGAGGGCATTGAACTGGCAGACTGATTGCCAACTGCAACCATGGTCTGGCCTGGTGGAAATATGAAAGTATGCACCCTCTGCAGCAGAGCAAGGGAATGATAGTTTCCAGTGTAGTCATGCAGAATTTCTTGGTGGACATGAATTTATTGACTCCCTGCAGGTCTAGAATTGGTATGAGGCTACCGTCCCTCTT